CATATATAAGAATGAATGATTTACACAATCAATCCATATATTTAATTAGTCTCCTTTTGATCACTTAATTAATAAATTAATTCTTGATCAATACTAATTAAATAACCTTATTAATATATTAGAACTTATAATATATTAACCAACCTTAAGTGTTATTTCTCTCATTATAGTCTATCCAAATGCATGATGCCATGCAACCCAAATGGACCATGCCAGGTCGGGTCAAGTCTTACCAATTATAGTTATGGACTTAGACATTAATCCAACAAAAGTTTCTTGGGTTCATCTCAACCTTCCTTGATTCGAGTACGGATCCTCTGCTTTCAGTAGTACGGGCCCATACTACCTTCCATATCTATCCGTACTTTCCTCAAGAACTGCCTTGACTCCCCCAAGTCCCTTTTACTACTACTGCTATCTGCTAATCTCATCCTAGGCTTGACCTAGGGTAACCTACGATCCACTCTCCTCCATCAGCTGCATAAGAAGTCCCTGCTATCTCCCCCTAACTAGCTCGCGAATACCATTACATATCACTAAAACTAGATAATTCTTCGAATGAAAGGTCCTACCCTACAACGGTTGGACTCAAACAAGAGCTGTGAAATAGAGCTAAACCTAACCTTGTGAAATTATTTAGTCCTTGTAATATGTAACTTAACATATCCGTTTACTAGTTAGTTAAAGATAACTAGAACTCCTAAAAGCACAAAGCAAGCAACATTCGAGCATTGAGTAACATAATCAAGCATGTTCTTCTCAGGCTATCATATTACTGACTAATCAGTACTATCATACAGTTCAATAAGCTCATACAGTAGGCACATAAGGCATCCTTCCTAGATCCTTAGCTTTAAACTAGCATGCTGTTCTCATACTCATATCATAACATAAACTTGTATAGGTAATTTGGGAGTAATTACTTGAGCTCGACATATTGCATGCACCACACCCTTTTTTCTTTTCAAAGTTCTTTTCTCTTTTCAAAATTCTTTTTAAATCATCCCGATGACCGGGCGGGGCCCGATATATGTTATAGTATGTATGGTATATGGTAGTTTGGGGGAAATTCACTAAGCTTCGTGCTTTCGGTTTCCAGTTTTGGTTTCAGGTACTTCCGGTAGCAAAGGGAAGAGCTCGGGATGACTGCATCGCACACACCATGATGATTTTGCCTAGGATGTTACTCTGATTTTTATTGTTATGGATACTTTGATTTATAATCATGATTGGATGTTTTGACATATGTTGTTTATTTTATAATTCAAAAGTGAAATTTTTGAGACCATATTTTATGTATGTTACAAGTTGGTATCAGAGCCTTGGTTTGAGGGATTCGGGTACACTCTCGGGTGTGTCTGAACTCAAACTGAGGACTTGGTACGAAAATTTTCAAAAGAAAATCATTTTTATAAAAAGGATTTTAAAAGAGGAAAATGGTGTGGTGCATGCAATCAGCTGAGCTCAAGTAAGTTCTCCCAAATTACCATACATGTTTATATTATGATATGAACTGTTAATATGTGAACTACATGCTAAATTAGGGATAAGGATCTGGGAAGGATGCCTTGTATTCCTACTGTATGAGCTTATTGAGTTGTATGCTAGTACTGATTAGTTAGTAATATGATGGCCTGATTAGGATATGTTTGGTTCTGGTTACTCAATGCACGAATGCTGCTTGCTTTGTGCTTTTAGGAGTTCTAGTTATCTTTAACTAACTAGTAAACGAATACGCTAAGTTACATATTATGAGGACTGAATAATTTTGGAAGGTTAGGTTTTAACGCTATTGCGCAGCTCTTGTTTGAGTCCTAACCGTTGTAGTGCGAGACCTCTCATTCGAAGAATTATCTGGTCTTAGTAATATGTAATGGTATTCGCGAGCTAGTTAGGGAGAGGTAGCAGGGACTTCTTATGCAGCTGATGGCGGAGAGTGGGACGGAGAGCAGTGGTAGTGAAAGGGACTTGGTGGAATCAAGGCAATCCTTGAGGAAAGTACAGATAGATGTGGAAGGTAGTATGTGCCCGTACTACTGAAAGCAGAGGATCCGTACGCTTATCAATGTAAAAGCATACAGGGAATGACTATCAATCAAACTTGGTAATAGATTTGTATTCTTATCAATGTAAAAGTGTACAGGGAATGACTATTTATATTCTAAGACATTTACACATTTACATACTAACCTCTATAGTATTAACTATTACTATCTAATATTATTATTTGTCTAATACCCAGCATAATGCGGTAGACAAACATATAAGTCCGGCTTCAGCCTTCAAAAACATGATATTATATGGATGTTAGAGTGTAGGTAAGCATGATGTTCAACATTCCAAAGATTTTCGATGTATAGTTCACAATCATATTCCAATCCATAAAATGGTGAATTTAGACTACAAAAGCCACAAGTTTGTGTTTCTTGGTGTAAGAAGAGCCAAAGGGATAAAAGGTGTATCATTCGAAAATATAATGAGTGTGTTTGGCAAAACTAGTTGGTAGTTGTAGCTATAACTTTTATTTATGCAGATATGCTTGACAAAAACCTGTTAGCTTTTAAATGTTTAAAATCAGATAAAACTAAAAACTAAAAACTAAAAGCTACCAAAAACTACTTAAGTAGCTAGATTTTTGTTTAAAATGAAAGCTAAAAGCTCCTACTGCCAAACTGTCAAACGAATTTTGTTTATTTCCAGATTTTTACTTAAAAAACTAAAAACTCCCAAAATTCTCAAAACCTCTACATTAACCCTAAAAAATGCATGTATGTTAAACTTAATTCGAATAAGTTCCAAGTGATTTGGATTTAATGTGAGTTCCATTGAATTCATTTCAAGTTGAGAAAGAATACAATGGTATAGTTGGAAGTAGATGGCTGGATGGTGGACTTATCCGTTGTCTTTATGATGTGTCTCTTATCCATTTAGGTTGACAAACACTAATTGACCAAAATATCTTTATCCAAATCCACTTAAAATAAAAAATCAAACACCACAATGCCTAACGTCAAGTAAAAATGTAAAATAATTGAATAACAAAATTATAATAAAATAACAAGTTAGTTTGTTATTTAATATATTTTATAGAAGAAAAAATGTAATTAAACACATAAGGTTCAGCTACTGAATTCCCTGTATGGGGCCTGATAAATTGACTGCCCAAAAACAATTCCCAAAAAAGCATCATACCACAAGGCATTATTGGGCAATTGGCCACAAACTTAACATCCAAAAGATTCCGAAACCAACAAAACATCGACAATGATTGCAACACCCATATCGACCACACATGTTTAGCTGGGTTCACAAACATTAATTCCAGCACATCAAGAATCGAGTTTTGGGTACCAAACTCGTCAAAAATCACGACAAAGAACAATATTAATGCAGTAAAAAGTAAAAACGTTTCATTCCATCACATTTTCTATTGTTGTATACAATGATTGAAGTCAAGAATCTACTCGAGACGTGGGGGAATCAGTGGTACATATATGTTGGTAATGGTAAAGAAAATTAAATAAGAAGAAAGCTTTTTTTATTTTTATTTTTTTTAGCATCTTGTATAATTACAGGTTACACGGATCCTAGCTCTTACGCTACAAAATTTAGTTGGCTAAGAAGCCTGTTTCGCGAATAACCGCTCCATAATCAACCTGAAAATCAATGAATATTAGCTAATAAATAAACTACTTGCCCTTTTTCCTGTAAATTTGTAAATTCACATAAGCTAGCTATATATGTACCGTTTTGGTGATGATCTGGGTCGATAGGATCTTTGCTGCTGCTTGGCTTCGTTGCAGTGGAGGCCATCCCTTCATGATTCTGCTATTATAGACGATGACAATTTGTGTCAGTTGTATAAATTGTTAAAAAATTAAGTTAAACATTGTTGAATAAAAAGGTGAAAAATGCCTGAGGAAGAGGTGATGGTGTTTGATGTCGTAGACCAATGTACTGTTGAAATGGATCGGCGAAATTTGGAACTTGTGGTTGGTTTTGATTATGTAGAGGAAATGAACTCATAATTGGAGCTGAGAGGTTAGTGGCTTGACTCGTTGCAGGACATGTGGCATTAACGGGATGGATGTTAAATCCGGAAACTGGGAAACGTGGGCCCATATGAGTACCCGGGCTGGGGACTACCGATGAACCTGGAAGAATGGCGGGATATGGAACCATGACATGGTTCATCCCCATGTCCATGCTCATGCTCATCCCCATCCCCATCCCCATTGCCATGGGTGGCATGTATTGTTGGACACCTGGGAACATCATAGGAACCATGTTGCATCCCATCGACATCATCTGCATAAAAAAAAAAAGTCAAGCAGGTGTCATGGTTTCTTAGGATCCATGTGGACACTGAGTTTTTACCTCAGCCACCTAACACCTAGCAGGCTGTTGTGCACTTTCTTATGCTCCTATGTGGTGTGCGTCGATTAAGCGGGGTTACTGGAAAAATAACATTTTTGCAGAAAATATACCTGAACTTGCATTTGAAGAGACTTCAAGTATTCAATTGCTTCGTCTAGCATCGAAGCTTTGTCGGACTAAAATCATTAAATTTTGATTTAGAAGATGTTTAGAGTAAAAGCAAACGTTTTATATTGAAAATAAAAAGAATGAATATATGAATGTACCGCATACCTTATTGGAACGAGGTATTAGTTCTTGCAAGGCCTTCATTTTTTCATTAATCCTATCTCGACGTCTCTACACATATAATTATTAAAAAAAAAAAACGAATATTAACACATGATCAACTTTCATATTTTGACCGAGAGGAGTGAAGTACTAACTCTCTCTGAGAGATTGTGGACCTCTGCAGCACGGGACCTTTTCGTGGAGGTCGATCCTTGTGATTGCTTCTTTGCATCTAGACACCCGAACTCAACGTCCTTCATGTGAAAAATAACCCAAAAGATCAAAATCTCAAATATACACCAAGAACAACAAAAATGACTTGTTACTGTGGAGTTATTTAAACTAGAAACTAAAGCTAAATCGTATTTGTTGGTTAATTATGTTTAACGGACACTTTATCAACTAATTATTATATCTAAAGTAGATCTTTACTGACTTTATTCAAGTTAATTAGTATGATTCCATAACAACGTACAAAAGTTACAAAATGATCATGAACCCACTATATGTCCCTTTTGCCGCTAAAAGCTCCATCCATATTTTGCTAATTGAATTTACCCATTGTCAATTTACCCTCAAGCAACGGACAATTCATCCACAAAAAGAAAATGAAATCTAAGCCTTTGTTTTCAACACTAAATTGGTCAAATTCAAATACTAATAGTAAAAATATGTTGGGCATTATGTAATGATGATCCCTTTGGTGACAAGTAAAAGTGTGTCCCATGAGAGGTCACATACATCAAGTTCACATTGTAAATCAAATGATTTGTAACCCCAAATAGGAGAACACCTACTTAAACATGATAAAAATACAAGGGATAAATTAGAAGCATGGTCCCACTTGACATTTCTCATCAAATTTTGTATGCATATAGAACTTTACTAAATGGAACTAGAGTGGATTGACTAGCTAGATGGAAATGGACTTGACAAGTTGACAAGACAATCATTTCAAAGTCATTTTTTTTTTATAAGAAGGGACTCCTAGTTTTGTTCGGTTCAATTAGTTCTATCAAGTTGAGTACCGTGTACCTTAACAAACATGGCTACATAGTTGCACCTAGCAGGGCTAATAAGTGTGTGATGACGTAAACAGTCTGCAACTTATATGGCTCTAAGAGATTGGCCCCATACTGTATATTGTTTATAATAAAGAGTACGTTGCATAAAGACATAAATATCCCACACCACTGCCACAGTGCCACTAGGGCTACATATTTGCTGATATCATGAGCAGCTCAATCTCCAATGAGTCCCTGACCACTAGTTTTATTTTTATCACTTTGGATTTTTATGCTCTCAAATTTGACGTATTCACACTCATATAAATAACCAGATTTTTGTTTCAGTCTGCTCATACTCTCTGTACATAAACATGTTGCGGGAACTTGTGTATCCCTACATACGTAATACACGTGACAATCTTGTCTGCCACCTTGACATCCATAGTGTGACGTGGCACTGAGTCCCCACAAAAATATTATAACCCCGAAACCAAGAATACATTGGAACTTGAGGATATATACCACTACCATAGTCCATACCCCGAAAGGATTAACAACATATTACATATATGATATCTGGTAAATATCTATCAAAACTGTCATGGTGATACAATTTATTAATTTTATCTTAATGCTTTAGAGCTTCAACATTTCAATTGCCTCATAAACTTTAATAAAAACCTATCAAATTCCTTATATACAGCTTGAATTCATAGCTATAGACGTATAGTGTTTGGTATATGATATCATATGTAGAATGTCGATAAAATAATATAATATATAGTCTTCACGAAGATTTGTTTCTGAAATCATGATTTTGTCTAGGAAGTAGTGTATAGGCTCATTGCAGTGATGCTGCTAAACGACACACGCACACAACAGAGAGAGAGAGAGAGAGAAGAAGCTAGAAACAGAAAACCCCCAAATCTGTGGACAAACAAAATCTAATTCTTGAATAATCTTCTTTATCTATCCCCCGATTTTCTTCTTTAATTCCCAACAAAAATTCACTGTTCATTTAAAGAATTTCAGAACACGACGCCCCTTTTACGAGAATCGAGGGTACAACCCTCCATGCAATGCTAGAAGAGGTAAAAGACATCCGAGTGTACAAGTATCTAATTGCACACAAATGCGTCATCAGACATCATGTAGAGTGTAGACACATTTTCCGTCAAGTTTATTTATTTATTTATTTTTTAAATTATTGTAAAAGTCGAGTAGTTACGTACCTCACTGTGACATTCGGTTTCGTACGTATCTCTGCCCTTGCGCTTCCGATGATCATCGGTTGTTGGTGGCGGTGGCTTTTGAGAAGATGGCTCTACACTGCCGCTTGCTCCTGAGCCACCCGAACCCGGAGACACGCTTCGTTCACATGTCTCTATTTCCCTCCCCGCCGATGATGTACCTGCTGCGCTACGTCCTATGTTCGCTGCAGAAACCGGCGTCGGTTTATCCGACACACGCGAAGCCCTTGATTCCGGTGCTGCTACCGCCGGGGTCTCGTTCGAACTAGAATTGCCTGATTCTGGAGTTCTGAGTTTATTATGCCTCGAGAAATGCAAGAAATTTGGATACTTGGGTTGTCCTGATTCCAATTCCACGCGCCTGATTGGGGCGACCGGTGGGCGAGGAGAAGGAATCATTATGGACGGAGGTGGAGGCGGTGGGAGGGAGCAAGGGGTGGTCACGGGAGTAGAGGATGGCGGGGTAGGATAGAGGAGATCGTTACTGTATAGATAGCCTTCTAACGTATTGTCGTCGACGGGGTAATGAAGCCAAGAGGCCATCTCGTCTTCTTGCATGAACAAGTCAGAAGGCCCCGTCTCTTCTTCAACGACGGAGGATCGGATGTCTCTACTGCCCACCGGCAGCCTCGTTTCTGGCTTCTTATTCCCGACTGATCTCTGATTTCGGCTCTGCATCACCACTTGACCATTTTGCCATAGCAACTCCATGACATCTTCATCTCCACCCCTACAGATACGTATAATCGAAATTAAACATAGAATCACTGTTTTCTTGATAACTAGAACAACGTGATCAACAAATTCAAATTACTAATAGGAAGTGATACATTATCGATTTCTTGGGCGACTCCTGAATTAAGTAATCCTCGTCCGCTTCGAATTCAGGAACAGTAATATTCATCATCTAAATTCTTCTCACACCAATTAAAATTCAAAAATTTAATCGACCTCCTGCTAATAGTGATCAGCTCGATCGTCATTCACAGAGTCTCGTATAATAAGCCTTAACAAAAAGAATCACATAAGACAGACGATGCAACAACCTGTTAACTGTTAAAGTCTTTTCCTCGATTGAAAAAACGAATCTGTGAAGTCTCTTCCTTGATTGTGTATAGAACTCAAATAAAGTAAGCAGAGAGAGTAGAAACCGAATCGATCAGCATGAGCAACAACCTTGAGCGATGGCGGTTATGCGAATTTTGAGGTAATTTATTCATGAAAATGATGACAGTCTTTTGGGGATGAGTTGATCTGAATGTCAGTATGTAGCTCTCAAGTAGAACCAAGATGATAAGGTGTATATTTTTTATTTTATTTTTATATTCTTTTTGGTGATTTATTATATCAAATATATTGGTTCAATTTTTTAATTCAGGTACCAAGATCTAAATAGTAAATAGAGCCATGTCCGGTCAAGTGTACGTTGTTGGAATTTACTGTGACAGACCGTTCATATCTCAGACGGTGAACAACCAACAACGACGAATGGAATAATGAAAAAAATTGGTAAATTACATGAATAGTCCGTGTCGTTTAGGGTAGTTTTTGTGTTTGGTATCTAATTTTTTTTTAACTCAAACCATCCTTATAGTTTGTTTTATTACGATTTTGGTCACTGTCGAACTTGAAATGACTATTATAACCTTTAGAACCTTTTTTATTTTATTTTAGATGTTTTATTATTAGTTTTAATTTTAAAGAAATATTAATTTTGAAGAGCCCACTCCGTAGTCATACCCAATACTAAAACGTGATATGTCTCTTTCCCTTCCAGGACTCAACAATCAACACTTGCCCCTTTATCTCTTGGTTCATAACTTAGACTTCGCCGCCACCGGAAAAGACAATTGACCCCACAATCTTCGGCGACGTAGATACTACACGAAGGTAATGAAGAGTGAGAACATGTCTAACTATCTCATTGGCGATCTGAAGCCCTGTAATCTACCAAACCCCGACGACCCTCCCCATAATATTCCATGATTCTTTCAGAAATCCATTTTCATATTCCTTCTGGTGGTGTCGTGGCGGAGAAGAAAGTTGATTGATTTTCTCCTTAATTTTTGATTTCCTGGTCTCAACAACCCCATATCTCACACCTTTCGTCCCCTCTCCCTCTCAGCGAAAAACATCATCACCATTACTGATCTTCTCCGCCTAGCTCTCTCCCCTATGAAAAAACATCATAAAACATACTCATCCATCACCTCTCTAATCCGTCTCTCATATTCACCTGAAGACACCATCAAACAATCCATTGTAGATTTCAGATTTGTGATAGAATCACGTCTACAACTCAACCATAGGTAAACCTTGACCAGAAGAAAGTTACATCGGTTGGCTTTGAATCGGTTGTACTTCCAGGTGGATTTGCTAAGCACGTCAAAATGCACAAAGACGATGAGAAAATTTACGAGCTCTTAAAGAGAATTTCATTTATGTTGAATTATTTATTCCTATGTGATATCTCGATGAAATATCCCCGTGTTAGGGTTTTCCAACATTGATGCTTATGTATTAGGCCAACCCACACCATGAAATATTAAAAAACACTAAATGGGTGACTTTTTAACACAAAAATAAAAGTTTCATTCCAACCACACACTAAAATTTTACACTAAAAACTTATTTTAATAATATTATATTAAAAAACAATTTCATTATTATTATATAATTCAATTTATTGAATATAAAATTAACATATAATCAAAAAGCAATTTGGTACAGGATGAAAAGAGCCTACATATTTAGCGGCCAAAAATTTTATACACAATAATAACGCCCAATTTAGTGGACGATTGGAAAAAAAATTGCCGCCATTCCATTATTTTTGTTCCAGTTGTCCAATTGTCCACTAATTTGTTTTAATTTTTGAAGAACATCCAAAAACCTTCAATTTCATCTTTTAATTCAGATTTTGAATTGGATGAATATTTTCTATTTCATTTTGTTTTCTGTAACACCCATAAAAATCACAATAATTTTAACTTTTAAAAAAAAAACCCAAATTCAAAAATTGTTTACAAACATAGTTTTCAAAACATTTTCGAACATCAGAGTCTCACGAAATCATAAGTCATAAACAAGAGGATGTGTACGGTCACGCCTTTTCCTTCCCGCAGTCATCTGAAGTACCTGAAACATAACCCAAAACTGTAAGTCAACGCTTAGTGAGATCCCCCAAAGTACCAACACATAAACAGATAACACATACAATAACAACATGTCGGGTACAATCAACCATTGGGTTGGAATACCCCCAGGCCCAATCAACCATCGGGTGAGAATATCAATATACTATGGGTCCAGTCAACCATCGGGTTGGAATACCCCAGGCTCAATCAACCATCGAGTGGGAATGTCAATATACTATGGGTCCAGTCCACCATCGGGTTGGAATACCCCAGGCCCAATCAACCATCGGGTTGGAATCCAATCTACAACGGGCCTTGTTATCCTCGGGATGAAATACCCTTGGGCCCAATCAACCATCAGGTTGGTACGCCCCCGACCTGTTGTCTTACGCACAAAGCAGTAAAGCCTCAACCACCAACCAAATATGTGCACATATAACAGATAATCATATAAACAGTATATAGACAGTCAGGCAGATCTACAGATCACTAAGCATAACATCATCCTATATACCAGGATACCGATCTAACAGATCACTATAGCACGATAACATATTATCACATAACAGGATATCAAATCCAAAGGGTCGACCTTGGTGCCTTCGACCCGCAAGTACAGTTAGGAAAACTCACATCGCAAACTCGACAAAAAGCTGATGAGGTCTCAACTCCGAATCTCAGCTCTAACCGTCTCCTATTCCAACTAAATGAAAAATCTCAAACAAAATCCCAAAATACCATTAAGGTCAAACTTGGTCAAAGTCAAAGTCAAACTGGTTAAACCAACTCAGTCAACTGAGTCAAAGCAACCGAGTCAACTCAGCCAAATCGACTCAAAATGAGTATGCGGGGCGTACTCCGAAGGTATGTTGGGCGTACTCGCGTACTTGCATGTTGACCACCATCGGGGTGGTTGACCTCGTACGCAGGGCGTACTCCGAGTACGCGGGGCGTACTTCAGAAGCCTTAAAACTCAATAAGTGCTTAATGGCTTAAGCACTCACGCCTATTTTTCATATCCATGGCTAAAATACTCTCAAGAGTCATAAAGTCTCCAGCTTTATGACTTTCCATGTCCATTAAGAGCTTAACTCCACTTCTTAATCCATTAAGACCTTCTAAATGATGCATGGAGCAAACTCAACCACTTGGAATCCATTTTTTATGACTTAAGACCCTCCCAAGGGTCTGAAAGGACAACTCAATGGGTCAAGAATTTGCTATGTTCATGAATCATCATTTTGGGACCAAAAAGTGACTTAAGAGAGCCAAAAACCTAGATCTACAAGATGGAGTGGGAAAGATGCAAGCTTTATACCTTCAATATGATGCAAACCAAGTAGAAATCCCAGATCCATAGAGCCTTCAACTCCAAGATCTTCTCACCACCTTCTTCTTTCTTCAAAACCACTCCAAAGCTTACTTTAAGGCTCAAAATTGCTCTCACTTGCTCTAGGTTTGCTTGAAGGTTGAAAACGTAGGAGGCTGGGTAAGAAGAGGGTTTGTGTCCATAAAGTTGCATAAATATGAGCCAAAGCCCTAAAATTAGAGTTTGCATGCCATCCACGTACGACCCACATACAAAGTGTACGCCCAGTGTACTAAGGCGCGCCTTAGTACGCTTAGCGTACACACACGTACGCATGGCGTACTCAAAACTCCTAATTTTACCAAATTGCCACTATGTGCCCTTTTTCACACTTTCTTACACTTAGGGGCCAAAAATGCAATATAATTCATTCATATGACCAAATTTAGAAGTACCCCATAATCGGGATGTTACAATTCTCCCCCACTTGAACTAGACTTCATCCTCGAAGTCGGCTGCGGCGAATAACTCAGGATAATGCTCCCGCATCTCAGCCTCCGGCTCCTAGGTCCACTCGGAGCCTCTTCGATGCTGCCATTGTACCTTAACCAAATGTATATCCTTGTTGTGCAGGACCTTCATCTTCCTTTCCAGAATAGCTATGGGCCTCTCAACATAGTTCAGACGCTCATCGACCTGAAAATCATCCAGCACAACCGCTATCTCGTTATCCAACACACACTTCCGCAACTGAGAGACATGGAAAGTGTTGTGGATCTGACTGAGCTTGTTCGGCAAATCCAACCTGTAAGCTACCTTGCCAACCCTGGAAATCACCCGAAAAGGTCCAATGAACGGGGGACCCAATTTCCTCTCTTCCTGAAGCGTATCACACCCTTCCAGGGTGAGACCTTCAGGAGAACCATATCGCCGACCTGAAACTCCAACTCTGATCGACTTCGGTTGACAGAGCTCTTCTGCCAACTTTGAGCGGTCTGTAATCTCTGCCTGATCTGTTGGATAAGCTCCGTGGTATGAAGGACTACTTCGGTCTTTCCCATAACCCTGTGACCAGCCTCTCCCCAACAAACCTAGGTACGACATCTCCGACCATACAAGAGCTCAAAAGGCGGAGCACCAATGCTGGAGTGATAACTATTGTTGTAGGAGAACTCCGCAAGAGGTAGGTAGCAATCCTAACTCCCACCAAAATCAATAACACAGGCCCGCAACATATCCTCCAGGGTCTGTATAATCCGCTCACTCTAGCCGTCGGTCTAAGGATGATATGCAGTGCTGAAATGTAACCTCGTGCTCAGTTCCTCGTGGAACTTCTGCCAGAATTGGGAAGTGAACCAAACATCTCGGTTAGAAACAATGGAAACTAGAACCCCATGGCGGGCAACGATCTCCCGGACATAAGCACCGGCCAACTTTTCGGCCGAAGAACTCTCCCGAATAGCCAAAAAGTGGGCACTTTTGGTCAATTGATCCACAGTGATCCATATAGCATCAAAATCCTTTGTCGTCTTCGAAAACTTTGTGATAAAATCCATGGTGATATGCTCCCATTTCCACATGGGAACCTCCAGAGGTTGCAGCTTGCCATGCGGCCTCTGATGCTCGACCTTGACCATCCTGCAGGTCAAGCACCTCTCGACATACCAGGCTATCTCCCTCTTCATACATGGCCACCAGTAACTCAATCTTTAATCCCGATACATCTTGGTGGCTCCCGTGTGTATAGAAAATCGAGACTTATGAGCATCCTCAAGCACAATCTGCCTGACCCCACTAGAAACTGGAACCCAAACCCGACCACACCAGGTCAATAACCCTCGACTATCTGTGGCAAACCTGTCGATCTCACCCCTGATCCTAACCTGTT